ATCTCGTTGGCTAGTTTATTGATGTCTAGCGTGAAAAATATAAAAGAAGTAAATGATTGTACATATTTCTTCATTAGAAATTCCGTATTAAATAGTCCATTAGCCTTTAATACATTATCGTTGATAAATATTGAATGTACTGAAGCAGGTTTTCTGTTTTTTGTTTAAGGTATTTATATTCCAGAAAAACGTTTTAATAGAAAAAAAAAACAATGAAAATGTGACTAACGTTAGACTAAGTAAACAGCAACAAGTTAGCGTTAATGGAAATTCGTAATTTTTTTTTCTCTAGCTCTAGCAATGCTGTGTATATAATACGATGTATCACGTATGTGATTAAAGATAAAATTATACGGATTTGTTCTGGCATTTACATCCATACGCTTCTATTCAGGTCACTATTACGTGCTAATTTTGTAACGCATTGGAGCAGCCATACAATTTCATCTGCCCGCTGTTAAGCATCCCGTGAGATTGTAATGCTATCAAACATTCAATGTTTGATGTTGGGTTATATTAGTTAGTAAAAATTATACAGCAACTTAAATTACAATTCACTCTGATGCAGCGCTACCGGGTCGTTGTCACATCACTTGGGAGGCTATTTGTTTTGTGTATTTTATTAATAAACTGACCCAGGGAGAGCAGTAAATGTAGAAAACAATTGTTAGTTACTAGTTCTTTTTGCGGAGTAATTTGAATAATTATTTATATTCCATTCTCTAAAACGCTAGATGGTTGGGTTTTTTTTACTTAATGTTCTAGACAGCCCGCTTCATAGGGCTCTAATGTGTCTTCTAGGGGCGTGAGAATTTAAAAAAAAACCACTAAAGATATTTGAATAAAACTCACAGCGAACGTATTTAATTTTAAATATTTTTTAACTTACTGTAGCCTTTGTTTGACTACAAATCATTTTGTAACTTGCGATGAATTTTAAATAATTTCGTATATTCACGCGAATACTATATTCATTTATATTTATATATAAAAATCAATTGCTGTCCGTTAGTCTCGCTAAACCTCAAAACTGGCTCGACCGATTCTGATCAAACTTTTTATGTGTCAATGAGTGGATCCATGGATAGTTTAGATTCATAATTGAACCCGGCAGGTGGAGGTGTTATTGAGATACAGAATTTCCCCGTGCGAAGCCGGGGCGGATCGTTAGTAAGAAATAAAATTGAAGTGTCTGTCTGTAATATCGAAATTAGTGGCTTATGAATAACATTTTCTTTATAAATTTTGATAAAATACATGATCTAAATATCGATAAACGTCCTTGATACCTCCACGCGTTCCTGAGAAAAAGGGACTTGACAGACAGACAGACAGACGGACAATAAAGTGATCCTATAAGGGTTCCGTTTTTTCCTTTTGAGGTACGGAACCCTAAAGTGGAAGAAAAGGCAAACTAATTTAAATGAATCTTTTATTTTTAAATAGGCTATATCTGAGGGCAGTATTATGTACATAAAAAGTCAACTTGGAAATTAGACTGTGATATTTCTTAGTTCACTTAACGGACCCAAAAATTTTAATTTTATGAAAAAGTAAAAGCCAATCTTGAAGAACTAGTTTTTTTCAAATACTAGCTTCTAAAGTCGGTTCTTTAATTATTTAATACACAATGTCTTAGCATTAATCACCTTTTACCTCTTATAAAAAGTTCATATTTTATTAAAAACTTAGTTGAAGTGCTGTCAATTAGTCCTAAACAATTGCAATTAGGTAAATGCAACGGTGTTGAAATGCTTTGTAGGTTTATTCACGTAGGTGTAGCTTCAATGAATTGTTTAATTTTACGTTAACAATTGATTTAATTTGCTGGAAATAATAATAAATAAAAAATGAAGAGTACCTTTAACTGACGAGCGTGTATGCGTAGTTATATACCTCCACATCCATATGGATGTGAAGGAAGCGAGAGAGGTGTGTCAGGATCATGCCAAATGGAAGTCCATAGTGTCTGTCTACCGCTGTGGGTGACAGGCGTGAGTGTTTATGTTATATTTGTCTTCCAGATCGAATTTCAGTCACGGCAGCCAGTCTGAACGAACACTAGTCATCTGCGCAGAACACGATTAGAGTGCCCAAGTGTATGCGCAAGCACAGGTGTACTCTCTGTTCACTCACTCTCATAGTCCGATGAGACGGATACTCGACACGACCGGAGAGAGATCAGGCGCAGGAACAACAGCTTTACGTAATTTCAAAGTTACGGGGGTGAAACTCCGCCATCTTCCTGATTCCGAGCAGCTACTGAGAATTTCTTGACAGAAATACACAAATACTCATTTTCGAACCCACCCGGGATTCGAACCCGGGACCTCACGATCAGCAATCGCGTTTACGACCGTCTCCATACCTATAACAATAAGGTATGAACAAATATACCTAATAAAGCAGGAAATAATATACCTTTTTTATAGAATTAGGGTGACAATTAGCACACGGTCCATCTGATGGTAAGTGGTTGCTGCGGCCCATAGACATCTACATCTATTTTCGTTTGCGAATTAAAATGCAGATGTGTTGCCGTGAGGACTAAGATAGAATGCCTCTTTTCCAGTTAAATGGATCTCTGGTTCACTACACTCGCCATACGAAACACAGCAGCATTAAGCTGCTATTTTAAGCTGGTATTCTGTGAGAGCGTGGTCCTTCCCCGGTTGAGACGACCCATTCGTGCTACAACTATACTATTAACATAACTGCAGCATGGCTTTACCACGTCTAAAGTTAAAACCTAATAAGACAGGAGATAATATACCTAATAAAGTATAAACAATTAACTCTTGTTCAGGCAGTTTCGCGAATGAGGACGAGGTGGCGGGCTAATCGCCAGGAGATTTTGGTTCTCGTAAAGTTTGCTAGGTGGCGTTGTAGATATCATGAATATAATAATACTTATACGTCATAATTAAGACACAAAGTCCCCTCACAAGTACAAGTAGCCTAGTATATCTATGTACATTATACACTATATCAACAGCCATTTTAAATACTGTGCTGGAATCGGCAACCCAAGAAAGCCCCAATCGTCGAGTATCCGCAGGCGGGAGCAGAGAGAGCAGAGTGCTCGCACTGATAATACTGTCTCCCTTTACCATATCCATCTGTGAGGTTTCGGTTTTGTATTTAGCATTTTTTTTATAAAACTGTAGTGATAAACTAACTTACCTAATGGTAAGTGGTAACTTTAGTGGACAGGTAACTGCACACAGCTTCAGACAAAGAAGGCTACAAATACGATGTCACATCTGAGGATTAAGATGGAGTGCCTTACAGCCTGTAATAATACTGGCTACCTATACCATTTTGAACTGAACACATCAGAAGTAGGTAATAGTAGGTAGGTAATAATAGTAGGGTGGTCCTTACTCAATTGGAATCGTAGGTAGAAAGGGTAAGACACGTGGAATGGATGCAGTGTTAAAGCCAAGAGTAAATTGGTAGCGACTAAAAAATCATAACGGAATGGCAACCCCGTAATGGCAAAAGTAAAAGAGGCAGACAAGCAAAAAGATGGACAGATGATATCAAGATTATTGGAGGGACAATCTAGTCAAGAAAAGCTAACAAGAGAGAAGAATGGAAAAAGCTGGAAGAGGCCTTTGTGTCACAAGACACGCTGACTACTAAACTGGGAAATACGATATTCTAGACTATTATTAAGTTAAAACAATCATTTACTATGTTAAAATTTATATTGTTTAGTATCAGCAATTAAGGCTTAATAAAAAAAAAGAAAAACCTTAGTCACCTCTAGAGACACCCTAAGGATGAAATATGGTTGGACTTATAACTAATTGTTTCCAACATTTGCCTTTTAGTGTTACAAACACTAACAATGTAACTGCAATATAATATAAACTCTATAGTAATATAACCATGGTAGCTTAGGGAATAACCGCATTCAGCGCAGAGCATATCAAATCCTCGACAACCGAATTCCTTCTAATCGGCTTGCCTCACCAACGCTGCGAAGATAATTTGGATCCGTTTGCATATTCTATCGCATCTACCATTGGAAGTGCTCAGAGTAATTGTTCAGACTAATCCCAACCGATAAATTCCACCTTCACACACTGCAACAAAACTTACGATACCATCCGTACCATTTGAATAATTGGCTGTCCATCACTGTGCAATTTAATAGAAGTTTTCTTCCTCGAACTTCCTTGTGAAATTTTCCACACCAATGCGAATAAAGGATCTTGAAAAAAAAAAGAGCCTACTCTTACTAAAAGCAGTCAACGTGCCTGCAATTCCCCTGGCGTTGCAGTTGTTCATGGGTGGCGGTAGTCTTTTACCATCAGGTGAGCCGCATGCTCGTTTGTTCCTCGTTGGTCTAGTGGTTATAGTAGTGCGACTGCTGATCATGCAGTCCCGGTTTCGAATTCCGAGTCGCGCCAAAAAATCAGTTCAGAGTTTTTCCATCAAGAAATTCTCAGTAGCTGCCTGGGGTCAGGAAGTTGGTGGTGTCTCACCCCCGTGCCTCGGAAAGCACGTAAAGCCGTTGGTCCTGCGCCTGATCTGTCTCCGGTCGTATCGGTTTACCGTCCCATCGGACTATGAGAGTGAGGGAATAGAGAGTGCACCTGTGCTTGCGCATACACTTGGGCACTATAATCCTGTCCTGCGCCGTTGGCTAGTCTCTGTTGAGACTGGCTGCCGTGACCGAAACTCGGTCTGGAGTCACATTATTATATTAAAAAATCAGGGCTCGCTGTTTATACTATTCTACACTTGATACTCATATTCGATCCCTACCGGCACCAATGTAATTGTTGATTGCAATTTTATGAAATTATTATAGAAAAATCTTGATAAAACGTGCAAGCTTGAGAAATAAAATATATCATGAAAGAAGTCCAGCAACGTGCATTAGAACAGCGCGAAAGAATAATTGTTCCATGAGCCTCCTGAGATTAGGTATGTGTCCAGCAGTGGGATGTATATAGGCTATAACGTTATATACTTTATTCTTCGACATATTAGTCGTGTCTTGTTATCAAAATTTTACTCAGTTCGCTGTTAAATGTGGATAACGTAAAAAACGATAACCCTACTAAAAGCTTCGAGTGCTGTCTACATTAAAGTATTATCGGAGACCTTCGAAATATATCTCCCTTGAAATGGACACTGTTCCGAAGCGGCCCCTATCATTCACCTGCTTTTATTTCTATTTGTACCTATAGAGTACATTCTTTGGTCAAATAGAACCGACTAAATAAATTCGTAAATAACATTGTTAACATACTTGTGCTCAACCTTCGAATGAGGCGGAGTTAAAGCCAAAATTAGATTTTTTTTTGTTTTTGGCCATTTTGACCTTCTAGAAGTGTAATGAGAACTTTTTGCCCGTATTCAATCATGACCCCCATGACATCTCCTATATGATAGGTTTTTCAAACTGACTATGCCTAAAGTTTGAGCCACCCCCCAATTTTTTGGTTTTTGGTCATTTTGACCGAGTGTAATGAGAACTTTTTACCCCTATTTAATCATGACCCGCATGACATCCTCTACATGATAGGCTATTCAAACTGACTATGCCTAATGTTCGAGGCCCCCCCCCCCCAACTCATTTCTAGTCTTTACTTCCAATTACTTCCAAGTAATGACGATCGTAGGTATGTGTTAAAAATATATATTTCATAAGTATATTTACTGGTTGTAAGCTCGGGTCGGTCCAGTCGGTTATTTTTTGTCTACCATTTACTTCATAAACAGTGTTCTGGCGGTGTTTTAATATTTTCTATTCCACATCGTCTCGTGGGTGTCGTAAGGTAAGCGACAGTAGAGGGAAACTGAAACAGGAGTAAGTCATCAGCATCTTCTCGATTATTACTTAAAATAATAAAAAAATTGCGGTTGTCAACCGGCCTGCATAACGTTTTTTTTATAGGATAGGGTGACAAACGAGCACAAAGTCCACCTGATGGTAAGTGGTTGCTGCGGCCCATAGACATCTACATCTATTATCGATTATTAATCAAAATGCAGATGCGTTGTCACCCGTGAGGGCTAAGATGTAATGCCCCGTTTCCAGTAAAAAGGATCACCGGTTCTCTACACTCACCATACGAAAGCAGCGTTAAGCTGCTATTTTCCAATAGTATTCTGTGATAGCGTGGTCCTTCCCCGGTTGAGCCGACCCATTCGTGCTACAACTATACCTACTACTAATATATCTGCAGCATATAAATATATTGAAGTATATGAGGTACACTTTGGGTGAGTCCTAGGATCAGCAGAAGACTTTTATAAACAGTGATGAAGTTTTTCTTTAAATAAATTATGAGGCCGGAGTCAGAAAGTTGGTGGTGAAGAAAAGAGCCTACTCCTTTTTAAAAGAACGGCACGCATCTGCAATTCCCCTGGCGTTGCAATTGTTCATGGGATGGCGGTAGTCACTTACCATCAGGTGAGCCGCATGCTCGTTAGCCCCCTCTCGTATAAAAAAAACCCGTTCCTCGGAAAGCGCGTAAAGCGGTTGATCCTGCGCTGTCGGATTGCTGTATACAAAGCAATACAGAGCACACACTTGTGTGCTACAATCTATTTCTGCGCTAGTCTTCGGTCCCGTTGAGACTGGGCACCATTGGCGAAATTCAGTTTTGTTGACTTTTCAAAAAATATATCATAACTTAGTCTCTTAGATAATCGTAAGTTTCTATAGATTTGACATGTTTTCGTTTATGCTCTATGAAAAACACTCAGATGGATTAAAAAAATTCTAGGCACAGCAATAACGTAAAACACCCATCTACGAGACTGAGTCTTATATCCGGCAGATGACTGTTATAATCTGCAAAAAATATGAATTAGAAGTACCTACAGTCTTGCATTTTTAATTATGGGTAACAACAAATAAAGATATGCCCAGGCATATTTGGCGTAAAGATTATAGGATTAGATAATAAAATAAAGCATTCTAATATAAACTAGTAAAGTATAATACGTTTCTAAATACTCCTTCAAAGGCTTTTTTTTATAGAATAAGGGTGACAAACGAGCATTCAGTCCACCTGATGGTAAGTGGATGCTGTGGCCCATAGACATCTACATCTATTCTCGATTACGAATCAAAATGCAGATGCGTTGTCACCCGTGAGGACTAAGATTTAATGCCTCTCCAGTAAGGCTCTAGAAGGAATAGTCAAATCTGCTAAATATAGAAATATCTTTAAAAATATCTTTACATCATTTTTTACATTTACATCATTACAGCCCTTCACAATTCCACTGCTGAACATAGGCTTCCCCCAACAATGTCACAAAGCACGGTGCTGAGCCACCTGCATCCATCTACTTCCTGCATGTCTTATCAGGCCGTCACTTCTATCGTATATTCTATCTAGCGGGGAGATTTTTAGTTCGTTGCGATTATGTGAAACAGTATAAAAATAAAAATGATATAAAAATTCGAGGTTTACAAATCATTTTCTCTTTAACAACAGATTTAACTCCAAATAAGCTTGCGAAAGTCTTCTATTGAAAAAGTTTTGTGGATAAAAATACTCGGCGGCCACTTCGCTGAGGTAAAGGAAGTGATAAATTTGGCTAATTGAATTACGCGGGAAAATTCCTCCTAATTTAAGCTTAACAACTGAAATGGTATAAATTATATCAAATTTTGACTTGACATCGAGTAGTCGTGATATTTAAATTTTAATAGCGGCCAATAATAAAATTGATTGTAAAAAATACATCAAAATACATCATGTTGTCATTATTTTTCTTATGGCCGAGATTTCGAAGTAAAGTTACTTCCATACGTTTGAATACTAATTCTGATAACACACTTAACGTCAACCACAGGGCCTTTGTTAATGTTGTATAATTCCCACTTATGCGCACAGGCATCTGCGAATTTCTGAAGGTATTTTTTTAAACAAGGAAAGTCCATAGCGCCACCTTAAAAACGTTGACGGACGCTTTATGTGTTACTCTAATAATTTTCTAATTTCTAATTTTTATAATTTAGGTTTTCTCACGATATTTTCTTCCGCCACCGAGCACGTGGTTAATCAAATTCATAAATTGCTATTAACTAAATTTTGTTGGTTCCGGTGAGGATCGAGCTGGGGTTGCTTTACTTTCATAAATTAATTTCATTCATTTATTCATTACAACCTACTAAAGTCCACGGCTGTATATAAATGCATCGCATTCTATACCATCTAACACGGGGAGTGCTCGGATTAATTCCAGCCACCACATCGCGACAAACTCAAGATACCATCCACACCATCTGGATGCTTGGCGGTCCACCACTGTGCGTTTTATTAGGAATATTCTTCGTCGTATGACTTCTCTGTAGAATCGTTTAGAACCGGCGATTACATACATAGTTACAGATACATAGTTGTTACGCTGGGAAGGCGGGTTGGCAACCACTAAACTGTTATCAGAAACATGTTGTTGTTCATCTCCTGTTACATCTTCCTCTTGTTACACCCGCGGGAGATATGGGCTAGTAGATTATCTAGTGATAAAAGTGGTAAAAGTAGACTTTCAATAAGAATTACATATAATATATCTAATATATAAAAAAATTATTTTGTCGTTTATTCATATTTTATGCGCTGCCAGATTACGCTAAAACTTTGTCAACTTATTGCTTGCACTTCCGCGAAAGTTATAGGCCTAGTACAATTAATTTACAGTAGGTGGCTCGCGTATCGTAGCGACGAATTTATCTGAGAGTTATATGTCATTCAATTTCAATAAATCTATTATCATCTCTCATTGAACAATAGAACTCTTCCAAATTTAAAACATTTCCACAATAACTTCTTCTGCTGCAGCGACGCGCCAGTTACCAACTCGTATTGAATATGCTGCTGCTAGGTGCTTAATATATCAATATTGAGGAAAGTTTTTACTTTAATTTCACAAACTGGTGGCAATAGTGGCATCTATCTATCTTTATACACAAAGTCATGACATTTTTAATGGAAATTTATGTACTGTTTTTAACTATGGTTGTAATTAATTAAATATATGGTAGGTATGATTTTCTTTCGCGTTACCTTATGGCCTAAAGATTTATATGACTTTATCGACGTTTTCTTTTTTCGCTAATGGCACATCAAGTTTACACTGAGCTGAAGTTTCTTGTCACAAAATATCGTTTAATTGAGAAGTTGGTTTTAAAGAAAAGTTTATGAGTTTCTAGAGTATTATATTAATACACAAAACAATGCCTCAGTGGCTTTCTCTTTAATTTTTTGCACATTTTAACTCGTTTTTTTTTTTAAATTTTAGTTTTACTTTTATGAATATCTACGGTTTGGTTTATTTCGTTTTCTAAGTTATATAAAATATAACAAATAGTACAGAAATAAACTAGAGTCGCTTTATATTTTTCGAACAAATTTACTTCCCCGCTATGAAATCTGTCAAATATTACGCTTCATTTTTAAGTGGCGCCGCCCTGGTGGCAGAAAAAGTCATGGATACACTCATTGAGGTATGAGTTGAATGGAAAAAAGGCAATATTCTTGTTAAAGAAAGAAGGTGACAATAATACATCTTACTTTTTACCAAGTTAAATCTCCGCACAAAGCCTTCTATAGAGAAACTTCTTCGATATACAGTATTCTTATAATTGTATCATATATATATTATAAACTAGCGACTCGCCCCGGCTTCGCCTAGGAAGAGAAGGACCATTTATTTAATTGTTTTTTTAATATCCATGTCTAGATAGTAATTTGCATTGCTCTCTATCTGTTCGTAAAGCGCAGACAGATAAATAAATTATTTTTTAAAATGGTTGTTTATTTCTTAATAGCAAGCATATAATGTTCTGAACATATTAGAAGCCCGTTATTTCAATATTGCAAACAGACTTCAATTTTATTTATATGTGATAAGGCCAATTATACTTTCATATAATTCTTGTTTAAGTGGTAGTAGTTCAATCGGATATTTGGAAAAAGAAACACGGTAAAAGATGCAATTTTATAATAGTATTAGCTGCTCCCCCCGACTTCGCCCGCGTTTTATTTGGAGTTTTAATTTTTTGCGCAGAATCCTAATTCTTTTTCTGAAATAAAAGTAGCCTAAGTTACTCCTTG